TCAATCAATGTTACTTAGGACCTAATGCAATGTTTAGTTTGATTATTATCTGATTTTTTTCAATGTAGTGCTGTAACTAATTTGTATTGGCTATCAAAAGCAACAGCAAACGCACCGAGAAATGTTAATCCAAGCGAGTTCTTAACAAAAAGGGAAAATCGATCATCGCGTTTACGTCCTTATGTATGCTCACTGTCGAATTTGTAATCTGTCATAGATATGGAAGTCTCTTTTTTCCCACCACAGAAACGCCCAGTGTCCTTATACCAAATGATGAATGTGCGTCTACAAAACGCGAACGAAATCTTAAAAAAAAATCAGCAATATTTTTTTGGCTCAATCTGTAGATAAAAGATGTACCGAGGGATTTATGGCTAATCGAGATATTCCAGATCAACTACGAAATGTTGCATAACATTGATGCAAAATTGTGCACTCCGTTTTTGTTTGTGCATTTTTTTTAGTGTTTGAAGTTGAATCGCTGTAGAAACATTATTTGTGATCAATCTCAGTACCACATAAAAATTTCAAGAGCACAAATATCAGCTCTCACAAAACTTATAACAAAGAAACTGGAACTTCACGTTTGCTGCAATGCAGTACACAAGGAGTTTCAATTTCATGAGTGATGTCACAACCGTTCATGATTTGTGCCCTAGAAATCTTGAAGTCATTGTTGGGCGCTGCAATGAATCATCTGAAGAAAGCCTTACTCATATCTGATTGTAAATTAGGTACCAAATGTAATAATATATTCGCATTTTTATGAGGTCCTGAATTTAACCAAGTAGGAAATCCAAAATATGTACATAGGACCAAAATCATAGGTTACTTCTACTATATTTTAAATCCACATCTACAGCTAATAGTCTACGTCAACCATGCGATCGTGTCTTGTACACAACCCCACCAATTTTTTATTTTCCACTTATGCTGATATGTCTCAAAAGCTTGCTGTGCGTGTGGCGTGGGGCTTATTTTTAAAAATCGTTCGGGGACATGTTTTCCCGTGTGGAAAATAATTATTGGGACTAATTATGTAACATATAAAAAATTTAGCTATTTTCATTGACATTTAGAGGTGGCGCAAGGGGTCTAAGTCCAAAATGTAGAACGATGAGTTTTTTGTGACCACCTGGACTATACTTGCAATCTTTTCGAAGAGTCTTTATTAATATTCCATAAGTCTTTACAAACGTTGCACAACTGTCTCCCTAAATTTTTGAAACCGAGCTTCTCGTATGCGGCGGTTTAGTATCATAGCAACATAAGGATTACTTGATCGCCTCCATTGCCTTCTACGGCTGTTTCGCAGTTGGTTTAATTGTCGGTCGGGACTGCATCCGATTCGGCGGACTCCAATATGTCCATAAAGAGCATGAGGGCCCCGTCAACCGCACTTGCGTCTACAAGCTGAGAGGTTGCTGGAGATTAGCTGAACACGGCACCAATCAGCGCGATGGAAACATTTAAATGTTCGTAATCGTTCAGTGATGGGTGATGTCAATAGTAAACACCACAAGGAAATGATCAGATGACATTTCGTGAACCACTTTGGGTCTCGACATTGCAACCAAGTTATTGGAAAGAACTAGATACAAGTAGACGGCCGTCCACGGCCTGCTGGGTTGTGGAAAATGCACGACGCCCTTTACTTACTTATCCTGGTCCGACATCCCTCAGGATTGCACCTGCATCACAATGTTACGCCAATTCACTCGGTCCGTGGCTGCTTGTCTCCAATTTCTTGACCGTCCCACACTTCCAAGATCCTGCTCTACTTGGTCTAACCACCTTGCTCGCTGTGCTTCTCTTCGTCTTGTACCGGTCGGATTCGAGGCAAACACCATTTTTGCGGGATTGTTGCCCGGCATTCTTAAAACGTGTCCCGCCCATCGTACCCGTCCAGCTTTCGTAACTTTTTGGATACAGGGTTCGTCATAGAGTTGCGCCAGCTCGTGGTTCATCCTTCGCCTCCATACACCTTTCTCACATACCCCGCCAAAGATGGTCCTAAGCACTCGTCGTTCGAAAACACCCAGTGCTTGCAGGTCTTCCTCGAGCATCGTCCACGTCTCGTGCCCGTAGAGAACTACCGGTCTTATCAGCGTCTTGTACATGGTACATTTAGTACGGAGGTGAGGTTTACCCGGCCTCAGGTACTTGTGGAATCCGTAGTCACCAATGATCCGAGGTACACAAATTCATTCACCACCTCAAACTCATCTCCGTCGATTGTCACGCTTTTGCCTATGCGAGCCCTATCCCGCTCGGTTCCTCCAGCTAACAGATACTTTGTCTTCGACGTATTCACCTTTAATCCAACCTTCTCTGCTTCACGTTTCAGCCTGGTGTACTGCTCCGCCACGGCCTGAAACGTTCTTCCGGCAATGTCCACGTCGTCAGCGAAGCAGATGAACTGGCTGGACTTATTGAACATTGTGCCCCGCATGTTAAAGCCCGCACGTTTCATAACACCTTCTAGCGCAACGTTGAACAGGAGGCAGGAAAGACCATCGCCTTTTCGAAGTCCTTTGCGAGTTTCAAACGAGTCCGATAACGCACCCTATATCTTCACGCAGCACTGTACACCATCCATCGTAGCCCTGATCAGTCTGATCACCTTCCCTGGAAAACCGTTATCGTCCATAATCTTCCATAGCTCTTCACGGTCAATAGTATCATAAGCGACCTTGAAATCGATGAATAGGTGGTGCGTAGGGACTTGATATTCACGACACTTTTGGAGGATCTGCCGCAACGTAAAGATTTGGTCCCGTCTACAAAACCGGCTTGATAACTTCCCACAAATCTGCTTGATAGCGGCGATAAACGGCGAACGATGATCTGGGAAAGCACTTTGTAGGCCGCGTTAAGAATAGTGATAGCTCGATAGTTCTCACATTCTAGTTTGTCGCCTTTTTATATACTCTTTCCACTCCTCCGGTAGCTGTTCTGTATCCCAGATCCTGACTATCAGTCAGTGCAGACAAGTAGCCAACTTATCCGGGCCCATTTTGATAAGTTCCGCTCCGATACCATCTTTCCCAGCTGCTTTATTGTTCTAAAGCTATCGGATAGCATCCTTAACTTCACTTATCGTGGGAGCTGGCATGTCCCCCTCATCCGCTATACCGACGAAGCCATTCCTCCGCGCCGTTCAGATGTTCATCGTAGTGCTGCTTCCACCTTTCAATCACCTCACGTTCGTCCGTTAAGATACCTCCTTCCTTATCCCGACATATTTCGGCTCGCGGCACAAAGCTTTGGCGGGATGCGTTGAGTTTCTTGTAGAATTTGCGTGTATCTTGAGAACGATACAGCTGCTCCATTTCTTCGCACTCCAAGCTCTTCCAGCTGGCGCTTCTTATCCCGGAAAAGATGGGTTTGCTGTCTTCGCTTCTGTTTATATCGCTCCACATTATGACGGGTTCCTTGCTGCAGCATCACCGCCCGCGCTGCGTTCTTCTCGTTCAAAACCGTCTGACACTCTTCGTCGAACCAATCGTTCCGTCGATTCCGCTCCGCTCCACTGTTATTAGCTGCTTTCACGTTGCTCCAGCAGTCCTCAAGAGGGGCTTTGGTGAACTTCCCCACATCCGGCAACGCTGCGTCGGGGCATTGCACGTACTCAGTTGCGACTTCGGGCAGCTTCAGTCGCTCCAGATTGTGGCGGGCGTCGGTACCGAAGTAACCCAGCTAGGACGATTTACGTGCCAGCAGAATTCCAGCTTTGTTGACCTTGGCGCAAATCCAATTTCAGTGACGAGCGTTGAAATCACCAACAATGAAAAAGAGAACGGTACGACGAGTCAGGATGTCCAGGTCGCTCTGGAAGCGGTTGATATTTTCCCGGGAACTACTACTACTGCCACACCGCCCCCACGATCAGCTTAGTTACTTTGTCAGCCCATCCGTATGCAATAGTAGAATGGATGAAGAAATGATTTTGTTGGCTTGAGCCACGTCTCTGAAACTATTTCTCAATCGAATGTTTTTGGAGAAAGTAAAAAAAAAACTCGGGCATTTTTTCGGAAATGGACCTGCTATTCCAATACATCACCTTCATGGCTTGTGAATTATTCGTGGTAGATATATTTTACCATCAGCTCCGATATGGCCATGAACTGCTCCTGTTTCGACGTGCAAGCGTCGAGGGCGGACGAACAGATCTCGAGCCAAACACAAGAATTCCGAAATTGTGATAACATCGGGATTTGGGGTGGACTCACACGTGTCCTGGACTGACGAGGTCGACACCGACATTGATGACTGCCGCACCACATGGGTATACGATGGTCGGTTCGGAAGATTGGTTGGGTATGCTCTCTGAGCTACAGATGCATGCGTTGGGCTTGACGGTGTAAAGGTGGATTTACTTTCTGCCTGCAAGTCTTTCTGCTTCTGCAAATTTTCCTGGTAGGTACATTCTTCGTCATGGACATCCTCGATAGTTTGCAGTGCGGTTTCCGCTGCAGTTCGCGAATTTGGTATGAGAACGTGCCGCACTTCCGTCGGCAGTCTTCGGCGCCAAGTAAAAACACTGGTTGGTAAGGTGTTTTTCTCCACATATCACGCAGAGGGGCAGAAGGTTGCAGTGTGATGCACCATGACCATTTCTGGCATTCACCTCGTATTCACCGTGAAGTGACACACATTTTCGGCTGATACAACTCGTTTTCACGGTTGCAGAGGGCATGGCAAATCCCACGCACAATACATCCTGATTTGATTGCGTAAAAGTGGTAATTGAAATGGCATTTTAGCCACTGAAACAAGAAACGTCAGATCAAAATGCAACTTCCTACCGAAGCCTTGGAATAGTTTCCCATCCTAAATCCGGTACATTTTTATAAATTTCGTTGACGCAAAAGCATAATTAATGAACCGACAACTTAATTTGATTTTTCCCGGGTAAAACAATAACTTTGGCCATCCAACCGGCAAAGCAGTCACTAGCGAGAAAACATTAACATATAATCATTGCTGCCAATACTCACTGATCAGGCACGACGTTCTTGAGCCACCCCGAGTTGAGTGCGGCCTCGGCCGTTATCCGCTTGTCCGGATCCAGCTCCAGCATCTTGTCCAACAGGTCCAGACAGGAAGCGGGCAGAAAGACAAAGTCTTCGCGGATCTTTCGTCGGTACTGCTTTTTGGCCTTCAGCGTATGGAACAGTGGCAGCTTGATCACGTTCGGCCAAACGGCCGGCGTCGGTGTGCCACATAACCGTGAAATCATTTCCAACTGAGCAGGTTCTTGATTGGCTTGGAAGAGTGGCTTCTTGAGGAACAGTTCACCCAGAATGCAACCACAACTCCACACGTCGATCGCCGGACCGTAGCGTTCTTCGCCTAGTAGTAGCTCCGGAGGTCGATACCATAGGGTGATGACCTTGTTGGTGTACGGCCGCTCTCGGTTGTCTGCGTTATATAATCGAGCTAAGCCAAAGTCCGCCAGTTTCACTTCGCCCCTGAAAGTAAAATAGGATCAGTAGGTAGATTTAAACTATGGTTAAAAAAAGGGAGCAGCGCTTACCTGTTGTTCATCAAAATATTCGAACACTTGATATCCCGATGGAGGAAGTTCTTCTTGTGGCAGTAGTTCAGACCGTCCAGCAGCTGGCGCATGATGCCGGCATTGTTCTGCTCGTTAAAGTCCACCATACCGGACTCGAGCAGGCCCATCAGATCGTGATCCATGTATTCGAACACCAGGTAAAATGAACCCTTGTCCTTGCGGAACTCCAGCGCATCCTGCTTGTCGGTAACGATTTCCCGCAGGTTGACGATGTTTTTATGATTCAGCTGCCGGAGGATTTTGATTTCCCGTACGGCCGTGATCGGGAAGCCTTCCTTTTCGTGCTCAAGGCGGACCTTTTTGAGAGCTACCAGTTCGTTGGTTTCCTGATCACGTGCTTTGTACACCTAGTGGAAAAATATATATCGTTAGGGATTTTTTAGGATTTCAGTAAAACGACGTACCTGTCCATAAGTTCCCTCACCGATCTGTTCGATCATATCGAACACATCAACGCACCGTTCGCCCCAGTCCTTTCCACCGGATGCAGACATCGGTCCCAGCATGTTACGAGAATACCGCCTGTTCAATATCCTAGGGCGACCTTTGGATTTCTTACTGCTGGCACTACTGGATTTGCTGTATTTACTACTTGACTTTTTTGTGGGCGTACCTGATAGGGATGGTGGCGATCCAATATCTTCGTCGCCGCTCAGATCTTCCGAACCAGGTACCATTGGTGGCAGGGGTAAACTGAGTAAGCCCTTCTTGCCCGAACTGGATGACGGTGCCGACGACGATGATGACGAACTTGCCGAGGAAGGTGGTTTGTGTTCGTTACTGCTACGCTTACTGCTAGTGCTACTACTGGCGCCCTTGGTGTGGCGATGTGAATGATGATGATGACTATTGTTGCTGTTGAGGTTAAATGTTGTGATTGCTCCAGTTGTGGTGAGGGTCGGTATGGGCATCACCTTCATTTGAGCACCGGCCACCGGGCTGATTTGTCGTGGGGGGCTTGGTGTTTGGGCACCTTCCAGTTCGGCCACGTTCACCCCCGGTGGCATCGGTAGATTCGTGAGACTTTTTGGTTTACTCAGTACTGTCGTTGGTATGGATTCTGCTACTATTACCGCGGTCGTCGCCGACGCAGGTTCACTCGATAAGCTGGCACTTGGATTGAGACTTTCGCTGCTTTTACTATTCAATATCACAGGTATTCGTGAGTCCGTACTCGCACCATCGTCTGCTGCCGCTGTCGAGTCTACGGTGTCTTTTGCTGTAGTCTCTGCCACTCGGCTAGAATTATCTGACTGATCCGGCATGGGAATATCAGTCACACTGACATCCTTCAGCCCATTCGAATTTGACACACTACTACTACCGTCGGCGATCGTTATTACGCAATCGTTGGACATGCTGTTCTCGCTAATCACCGTGGCGCTGGGTGCTCCTGCCTCTTGGCCATCTTTTTTTTCTAAAATCTCCTGGAGCGTCTTTAACCGCTTGTGTTTGTCTTTGATCAGTTCCGCAAAGAAACTAGTGTCGGTGATTTTATCCTTGATATCGAACTTTTTAACCGATGGCATATCCGAAGGAGAACGTGACCGACTTCCGCTCGAATATCGCCGATTAGAGGACGGTCGCCTGGGACTTCTCGATCGGTGCCTCGAGCGACCCCGACTCCTGCTTCGATCCGGCGAAGGACTGTAATAGTTCTTACGAGATCGTGACTTTGAAGGCGTTGGCGTACGTCTCCGACGATGGCTTCCAACTGGACTGGGACTTCTACAAAAAAATGTTTAAACAAATCATCATTTTATTTCGATCATTCTACCTAACACCAACTAACCTCGTGTATCTTCTAGCAGGAGGAGGATCACCCCTTCGATCGTGTAGATCCCATTCTGGTTCACGCGGTCGGTATCGCTTATCCTTCCGGTAGTAATCCTTCTCTGGGGGTGATCGATCCCTCCGTCGTTTCGACGGCGGCGGAGTGTAAGGCTTGTGACGACCATCTGAAAAAAAGCACTTATTTCTTAACCATCTACCAACAGCAGATGATCAAATTCTCAACTTACTCGGACTGTCTCGGTTCGAGCCGTGCCTGCTGCTCGGTGATGGCGTACGTCGGTACCGACTGCTGCCACCACGGGGTGTAGGACTGTCATTTATCGTGACAGGACTTCCATGCTGTGGCTGTTGTTGAGACGACTGTTGCTGCTGCTGCTGCTGATAGGAAGAAGCACTCTTCTTGGGCACCACCGGAGGAGTATGAGGTGACGAAGTGGATTGGTACAGCTTCCGAGGCGGTGGTGCCCGGGGACTCCGGCCGCGAGATGAATCGGCGTACGGACTGTTGAGCGAACGGCTCGATGGTCGGATGGGGGGAGTGGCTAGGATAAAAGGGAAAACGATTCAAAGTTCAGTTACATCTTAACCTTAAGGTGACAGGCGACGTTTTAAAGATATTTTCAGAAGTCAATTTTGGTGGCGGTAGAGCCAAAGGACACTTTCCTGAACAACTCGGAATGTTTTATTATACACTATAATGCTAATGGGAAGTCAGTGGGGGAAGTGTCACCTACGGAGTCAACGTCTAAGGGGCTGTCCATAAACTACGTAGACAGTTTAGGAGGAGGGGGGGGGGGGTTGACAATTATCCACGGTCATACAAATTTTCAAAATTTTGTATGGGCAATTGTCTACGCAGGGGGAGGGGGGGGGACAAGAATCCCAAAAAAACTGTCTACGTAGTTTATGAACAGGCCCTAACGATCGCGATCTAACGTTGGTTTTGGGAAGTACGGAAGGGTTAAACGCATCATCCTGGAAAACATTCTTGCGGAGTCGAGTTAAAAAAGGACCCAGAACTGACATTTTGATGTTTGACTGCTTTGGCTGCAACTCTTTCTTACTTCTTTCAAACATGGGCAGTTCTTCCGAGTTCAATAAAGTTATGTCAGAACTTAATAATTGAAACTTCACTTGTAAAAAATAGGAAGAAAATAAAAGTAAAATAAATTTTCGGTCTTTTTAACGTAGACTACGTCTTACGGGAAGGTACTGGGGGTAAATCGAAAATCTAAAATGTGCGACCGTCACGAAAAGGTGTAAGGTTTTGAACGCTTACAACTTTGTCATTAATAGATGAAAATAAAATCCAAATACACCAATCGATAGGAAATTACTCTCAACAATATTTTTTTTTCAAATTTTACCACACAAAAAATCGTTGAAAAAGTACAAATAAAAAGTGATCATTTCATCACTATTTTCATGAAATAAACGTTCTCCCCAAACCAAGTCATCATAATCGAGTACCATTTGGTTGTGCATCGTTTTGCTTGAACCTGTAAAACAATATAAGAGCTCTACTGTCGTTCCTCCGCTCATGGTCATTGGTTGCTAAATCGTCTAGCAGTATAGTTCGTTCGTTCGTTCTTCTCGAGTTTCTTCTAATTAATTTTATTGTTACGTTTACGTCGTGGAAGTGCCGTCATCGACAGGCACATTGGCAAGTCTTATTGCACTTGCCACTAAATAAAACATGGTACACAGGTGTTCTACTACTCTTGCATCGGAGGGCCCTAGTAAAAAGGCCCAAATGGACGCCAGCGCTGCTTCGGACGACGCAGATAATCGGCTGCTACAGAGCAACTAATTCTCGGTGCTCGGAGTTGAAAATGATGGTGTTGACGCCGCTGAAATTGCTAAAAAGGAGCGGATTCCCCCGCTGTTTACTCCGATGAAGGACGTCGCCAAGCTTAGGGATGAGCTGGAAAAACTCAAATTGTTCCCGCGATTCAACATCTGTAGCGTAGGAACAAAGATCATGTGCTCCAGCCTACAACAGTACAAGCCGGTCGGTGATCTACTGAAGAACAGTACGGTGGAGTTTTACACCCACGATTTGCCTTCGGTGAAACCATTGAAGGTTGTTTTACGGGGACTGCCGTCGTACGAAACAGCTGCCGTAACAGATGAACTGGTGAGGCTTGGATTGAAACCAGGTGCAGTCCGGCGACCTGTGCTCAAGTTGATGAAACCGAGCCGAAGTGCGTGAATTGCGGTGGTACTCACCGTGCCACTACTCGGGACTGCCCCAAGCGAACGGAATACATCAACATCAGGAAGAAGGTGTCTACTAGCAACCAGCCAGGCCGGCATCGAAACAAACGTACACTAAGTGCCATCACGGATGAACAATACCAAGCAATCCAGCCTCGTCGCCTGGTCCCAAATCTCCCACCGCTACCCCTCAACAATCAACGAGCCACCCCCTCAGCTCAGCATCACCTCACTGCTGCAGCGGCCCTGCCAAATCAAGTTTCTGCCTCGGCGCCTGGACTATCGTATGCCCGTGTTGCCTCAGGCGATTCAGTTGACAAATCTCCGTTTACATCGGAGGAACTAGTAACGCTGGTCGCAGAGGTGATCGTCATCCTGCACACCTGCATCTGAACATCTTCATGCTGCCTTATCTCTCGTCACCAAGTATGGACCGTGAAGCTAAAAAAAAATACCAATTTGGAGCGCTTGCTCGCTGACGAACAAGCATAGAGAGCTACTCGATTACCTCAACACCAAGGAGATCGACATTGCTATCATCACCGAGACGCACTTAAAGCCCGAACTGAACGTATTCCTTCCAGACTTCCGACTCGTCAGACGTGACCGCACCTGCTCCGGGGGTGGGGAATGACCATCGCTGCAAGACGGAACATCAGTTGTCGGCTGCTTCCAAACTTCCAACTGAAAACAATCGAAGCCATCGGAGTGGAGGTGAACACATCACTTGGCCCAATTACCATCATCGCGCCCTACTACGTTTTATCAATAACAGAGATGGGATGGGCATTGAAGTGTGCACGGGGAATATATTTTATAACGGAGGATTAAGGACAAGTGTTTCATATGCGGAAATATCCCTAACGGAAATCGACCAGGGACACCACACCGAAATGGTCTCACTGGACATCTCCAAGGCATTCAACAGGACCTGGACTCCGACCGGACTTGCCAAACTCGTCAGCTGGGGACTTAAGGGACACATGGTCCATTTCGTTCGGAATTTCACTGATCGCGCTTTCCGTGTTGCCATCGGAAATACCAAATCTAGGAGCTTTCAGGAGGAAACAGGGGTCCCCAGGGATCAGTGATCTCTGTTACGCTCTTCCTAATCGCGATGAACGGAATGGGAAACGGATCAAAACAACCGTGCAGAAAGCCTGGGCCGACCAGTGGTCCGGCACCCGAGAGCGTTTCATCCGGAGGATTAAGGGAACCACGGAGGCATGGACGGACCTCCGAAACCTACCGGATCAGAGAGTGCTTTCGAGGCTGAGGACTGGACACTGCCGGTTGTACTATAACTTTGGCGGCGGAGGACCCTTCCGCAAGAGCTGCGCCATCTGCCACGTCCCGGCCACCGTTGAACACGTCCTTTGTGTTTGCCCTGAATTCCAGGATCTCAGGGAAACCTATGGGATCACCTCCAGCATCCGGAACCTGCTCGGAGAAGATTCACCCGCTGCAGACACCCTATTAGTCTTCCTCAGGGAAGCTAATCTATACAATGGGATCTAGGCAAACTACATATGTTTTTTATCTTCGTTTCAGTGGCGTCACCCTAACCTCAATCTACCTGTTCAACAACTCTCAAAACGTAAACAAACAAAACAATATTGGTTTCAATGGATACAAATTAGTGAAACTAGAAGACCCTATGCCTTTTGAAACTGATTTGAATGTAAACATGACCCTAAATAACGTTTTCAAAGTTGTTTAACAGGTAAAAAGTGAGGTTACGCGACGCCACTGCTTCGTTTGTATATTCGTTCATTTGTTTGTATGTTAAATTTTTCTTTTGACTGTCGGGACGGCACCGCACGGGATGAGCCTTTGGACCTCGTCACGGTGTCGTCTCGTTCAGATTTGTGTCACTCGTTTTGAACTTGTTGTCGTCTCCGTGAAGAGCCAGGAGAGCTGTTACCCCACAGCTTCAGTAGCCGGAGGGGCATCACATGGGATGAGTCTTTTGGCCCTCATGATGGTGTTCTAACCCAGGCATTGTCAGTAAAGATTCAGTTTAAACTCACTATGTCAAACTACTCCGTAGGAGGTTCTCCTTCTGAGACCTCACCATCTGACTAGAGATGAACTAGCCTAAGGCTAAAAATCTCTTTAATAAAGATTAAAAAAAAAACCTAACGGAAATTCCAGAAACAGTCAGAAAAATCAGGGACGGGACTTAACAATCGGGTAGCGATTTCGAGCCAATTTGCTGTCAAATCCGAGCCAGTCTTTGATTGGTCGATTTAACAGTGGCAATTGTTGAATAAAAAGGACAGAGGGATCGCATCAATTCTGGCTGGCAGTGATGCCGGAATCAATGTTGACGTCAATGGCGTTGTTAATTGTTTATATTTGCGAAAGTAAAGTTGAAAAATTGAGTGCACTGCGTCTTGTAAGCGATTGATATTGTTGTTTGTTTATGGTTGTTTTTATTGTGTTGAGCAAAAATGAATTAAAAGCTGCTAAACTGCGGCTGAAACTCCGAATAAAATCCAAATTAAAATAGAAAAAAAAAAAATTACATTCCTGGCATCATTGGTCAACTCCATCAAACACCACGCACAACTTTTCGAAGGGCATTCTTCAAGAGTGAGAAGCTCGATTGTCAAGTCCCGTCCCGGAGAAAAATAACTAATAAGGGTGAGGAAATTTACATGGCTAGGAGATTTACATGGCTAGGAGTAGTAAATTGAAGAACTAAGCTACTTCTACTGTATTTTAAATCAATATCAAGAAGAATGCACGAGAAGTTTACTAAACTTCTTAACGTAGTCTACGTCAACCATGCGGTCGTGTTATGTACACAAACCCAGCCATTTTTTTTTTTTAAAGATTGATTGTAAATCATCTCCTATGTATTTAGATAAAAATATGTCGATGCTTAACAGATAATGCCAAATGTCCATTATTATAAACCTACCTATGCACGTAAGACTGGCATCCACCGCTCAATTAATACGATTTATCATTATTTACGTACAATTACAACAAATATCAATAGTATAATTACAATTAAAGGCTGACTGAAAGTAAATTGGTACGCCCCTCGCGCGCCGCTAGCATGCCTCAAGTGACAGTGATTTGATTACACTTCTATAGAGAACAACTGGTGCAAGTTTGATCAAAGTTGTCGATCGCGTTCAAAAATAACGTCAAATGGAACCCGAAAGAAGAGAATATATTCTGCACAAACGCCTGGAAAATCCGGAGTGGTCCGAAAACAACAGTTTGTCGAGTGGTCAAAACCTACAAGGAAACCCTGAATGTGGAAAGGAATCAGCGGATCTACGAAAAAACTGGAACATAGGACATACAGCAA